ATAGGTTATTCTAGCCTCTGGACAGATCAATCTACTGGTTCTTCTCAACCCACTTTTTTACCGTCACTTATCCATTTATTAATCCTGTTTTTTATATCATCGTATGTGTGCCAATTACTTACCCAACTCATTGTGTCTGGAAATTATTTCTGTTCGACTACAAATATCAGTTCATGTTTGGTTAAATCTAGTTAGTTCACTCGCCACCTCCATTGCGCGTCATTTCGTTTTGCTTGGCTTTCCGATCGACGACTGCGTGAAATATATGCATTCAAAAACCCATCCCCGTATATGACTTATTTAATTCCGTTATTCACCAACGCAATTTAAGTCGATGATTATATACGAGAGTAGCCAGTATGTATATTTCGACAGCAATCATTTGATAACTATCACTCGTCCGATCTAAGTGGTGTCAAATATAGGGCCACTAAAACATTTACTATATTCATACCTTTCAACCAGTATAACGTGTTGAGATACTCTGGATATGTTCATAACAGACAACTGAAGGCAATTTCAGTCACTTAAATTGAATATTTTTTAGTGAGAATTGCACTGATATGTAGTGCTTGGTCATCAAATGAACGGAAAAGTGACTGAGAGCACTGGATACCACACGCGGTTAGTGAACATTGACAACTTTATGCATAAACACATCCCCAGATGTACGTCTGAATCCATTTATAATGAGTACTGGTTACACGGCCAATAATACTGCTTTATTAGTAAGAAATCAATGGTCATATTAGTTATGAAATAACCCGATTCGACTATTAGATATACAACCCTCCCTTATGTATTCATTTAAATTACAATTATATTGCTGAAATACTAGTAATATTATCATTCATACACTTTTGTATCACTATTAATTTACCTAATATATGGTTAAATGAATTAGAACTCAATGCATTTTACTAACTCGTATCACTTTATACATTGCATAATCTCTGATCAAATAATTGGTTTGATCTGTTTAAACACGTTAAATCTTGCAACTTAGTTTGATTCGCGACTACAGTGATTGCTAATGACGAACAATCGAGATAATTTGAATAAGAATGGGTTCTGTTCCCCACTCCACAATACGGCGACGGGCACATACAATTCTTTAACAATTATCCCCAAAGACAGAACCCCATGCAGAAGACAAGAGTGTAAAGAAACATTGATATTCAAAGAAGACAAACGTGAAGAAGAGGAATTCAGTATCCATAGAAATGAGACATGATCTGTGGACACGAAGGAAAAGTGGCAAACTAGGAATGGTAATAACCAACATAACCGAAACTTCGGAATAATAAATAAGACACAGTACACGTTACCAAACACAGGTAATAAACACACTTGTTTGCACATTGAAGTGACGTCATTTTTGTCCTGAGAGATATTAATTTTGGTGGTGTTTTGTTCTTTGAGCTGGATGGTTTGGACCAAACTATCCAGCTCAAAGAACAAAACACCACCAAAATCATCCACCTGAGCTACAAATCTTCTCCACCATCTCAGATATTAATTTACAATTCACTAGTATATGATTGTTTGATTTAATACTGCACATTAGTTAACGCGGTATTTAGAAACTTACTTTGCTAACGATTCTAAATTCCATATGCTATAATTTTGGGAAGATAAGTTTGCTTAGTTATTCCTCTGGACTGTTTGTTTAAACCTATGACTGTAGGAGTGGATGTGTGTCTCCTATGCACGAACCTAGTATCCCATAACGTAAAAATTAACATATTATCGAATTGTCTTGGATCCTGATGCGTTTGAGCACATCACAAAACAGCGAATGCGAATGACTGATTTACAATAGTAAATGCGAGAACGTACGGAAAGCGTATTGATTTTATGATTTTAATAGACTGTTCAAGGTTTCATATATAGTTCTAACTGATATAGTTCATGATTAGGCATAGAAGTTAAGATGTACACAAGACCAAAACAACTCATAACACTGAAAAACATTACATTGAAACATCATTTTATTACGTATTTCTATGGATTCTCACAATTATTTCATTCCCGTACTTTATTTTATTTCAATACGTGTAAAAAAATTTAAAGAAATACTGTACAATCAGGGGTATGATGCCAATTATTAACCACCCTTCCTCCTTAAACAAAAAGAGACCGATAATCACAAACAATTAGCCATTTCAAGTATCGCATAGCCAAGAAGAGTAATCATATGCAATTTTATGTTGGAACACATCGACCAAATCATCAGAAGCACAATGCAAGGTAGGCAGCAAACTTCGTATACCTTTCGATTGTAAATTGACTGACTGATAGACATGACGGTTTGGATCGAAAAATTCCAACAAATCTGGTTCAGGTTCATCCTAAAAAGTAGTAATGATAATTATATCATTATTATTACCATGATAAGAGTGAAAGTAATAATAATAAACAGCCAAAAACATCTTTCTTCATTTTGATGAAACTTTGGAGTAGTAAAATGAGAAGTGTGGAAACCCTGGAGACACTACTGTAAAAAATGTATATAATAATATAGATGAGATCATATTTAAAGATAACATTTACAATACAATGATGGCTTATAAATTGTTTCGTTCCGGTTTAGGACACTGCAGCAGTGTAATATATTCAAGACCTCAGGATTATCCTCCGATCTTGTGTCAAATACAACGTACTCAAACTACCTCGTTGGAACCCAAAATAAACGACATACATAAATTCAGTTATATTTATAATTTAAGATTATTAATTGTTCAAGATTGATGACATTCAAAACGCAAAGGAAGTAGGTGTATGGAATTAATGTAGGAACGTGATAAACCAATCAGATTTGAGACAACAATTATTGGATTTTTGCCCGAAATCCAAAACGCAATGTATGTATACAAACCTGAGTAAAACCCATTAATGCTGAATTACTAAGGCACTTAGAATCCACAAATATGGGACAACTAATCACTATGATCTAAAATTATGAATTTTCCGCGGTAAATTAAAGGTTATTTGTACTTACAATCAAAGAATTAGCTGCATAAGTATTTATCCATGTGGTTACACATGATTCTATTGTTTTCTATCATTACTCATAGGTCCTAATCTAAGCCCCAACCTTAAACTGTAGCCTTAACTCTTAACCTCAAATTCTAATTCCAACCCTTTCTAGGATTTTATTTAATAAATTATTCGCTTATAACACCTCCGTTCTGACTGGCTAGAAATCGGCGTGCTCTTTTAAGGTTATTTCAAGGACGCTGAGGATCACCAGTAAAGTATTCTTTCTCCTGGTAAAAAATATTTCATTAATTTTAGAAATTGTTTCATATACAGCCATCACCAGGATGTGTTGAAAATGGAGAAATACGAAATGATGAACTAATGATTATATTATACAACGTTCAAGCATTAGGTAGCTGGTTCGAAAGTCACTTCATCTGATGAAGTTTTGGCAACTGTGTGGTCAGGCTAACCACCAAGTACAAAAACCCACACTAAATTCTCCCGAAACTAAATAGAACTGCTATGATTCAAGAGGATGGCCTAGTAAAAATCTAGTTTATAACTTGAAATATTTGAAGTTGTTATAATTCTCTCTTACGGTTATAACCCAGCTATTCCTATTGATTAGTATTCTCGGACACCGATTCGCTCGACAAGTTCCCAAATCAGAACACGGTTGAACAGGAAAAGAGATTATATTCCAAATAACAAGGTTAGATGGAAGTAAGTAAGCACAATAGGGAAAACGTTAGTATATTTATAGTTTTTCACATGAGATTTCTAGTGTTCACTAAGTATTGACTAACACTGATTGGATAAGAATTAGTCAATCAGCGTGCACCAAAGCAATCGTGCATTGAACATGCTTTAATCCAGTCTGTCCCGCTAACAGAAGTTAAACACAATTCTCTGAGTTTTACCGTAATCCTGTAGAACAAAATTGAGAAGAATCCAAATGACCGGAAGCTTAAGTAAGTTACATACATAAATATTCCATTTGAAAAAGTGATAATTTTTTCAAATAACCTGGGTGTCGTGTTTTTTTATTTACCAGGGAGATGCTAATAACTAATATATTTCCGAAAATCTAGTGTTATACATACAAGGATGCCTGACTGACTGGCTAACATAGCATTAATTAGTATAGAAGCGTTACAAAATCGGTTACAGTACCTATATTTACCTACTTATAGTTGACAAACATACAGACAAGAAAGGGTGATTTGACAATGATAAAAATATTAACATTTGAGTCATTGGATGTGGGGAGGGGAGTTTAGTTAAGAAATAGAAAATATAAGCACTTAGTTATTTCATTGGGTAGTTAAGTTAGTCATAATCAGTGCAATATTTGCAACAACTATAACATTGCTCCGAAATGTCACAATACAGCAGGCCACAAAAAACGAAAGGAGAAACCACAATTTATGGACGACCTTTGAGCGATGCTAAAGTGACCTTGGGAATGTCCACCTACTTGATAGAGCTAAATGAGTGTTATAAACCAGTGTGAAGAATCAGGATTATGGTTTACAGTTGATGATGAGTGTTAGGAATCCGATTTAGGGTTTTCATCACGAAATAACAAATAAAATGTCAAAACGTTATTTAGCCAAGTGGATGAATGAATTTCGCGCCAAAATCCAAGACCTGTTATCCTTAACCTGATTGGGTCGTCCATAAATTATAGTCTAGCTGAATATGATTTCGAAAAACAGAAGACGATTTTAAGGATAAAAAATTATGAAATAACATTAAAAACAAGAATCTGTAGGAAGCTAAAGAATGAATGTATCTATCTCTATAAAATAAATTGTTACTATAGTGGCTGAAAATCTTTTTCAACTATCGATTAGGATTATCGCACAGACATCAACCAGGTGGTCTGTACCTCTCCAAACAGTTTTATCGGATCTAATATGCTTACAGATGGATTTTCTAAACACACTCCTAAACTACCGTACGCAGAGGCTTGATATAGTTATAGTCAAAACGGGCAAACTATGAACAGCCGACAAATTATACCTGTTTCAAAAACACGAATTAGTACAACTAATACGAAAATGTGAAATGGAACAGTTTATTAGCGACCATTAGTATGAACACGAAATAAAACAATGGAAAAACTAGTCATGTTTATGAAAAAGGTACAGTTTTGTAATTGCTAGTCAAATAAAGAATGGTTAGTCCGAGATCACATTGAGTCTAAGTGGCGGGTTTTTAATTGGGATTCGTTCCTATGGTTCGGAGTTGACATTTCTTTCCAAAACATCCACTACTTCTGCAGTTGGTAATCATCGTTGTTTAACTATCTCATTCTACGACCAAACAAAAATTTCGTATATTCCGGATAATCCTTTCGGTTGTGATCTTCATCTACAAAATCTTTATTTGTCCGTTGATTTCGTAGTTTGTCTGTTTAATAATAGGTCTTGGTGACTGATTTTTCGTTCCAATAACATCACTGATAAGGATTAAAACATTTGGTTAAGTCTCTGCTGTTGTGTCCCGATAAGAATAATGAATGGTAATTTTTGGGATCCAATTATGGACCAATATTATGAGTATATTTTTATCGTATAATTGTTATGCAACTAAACTGTTCATATTCATACCCCTCTTATTATGAGCTTTATGTTGACCTGTGAACTACTATTGTACGATTTACCACTCATGAATTATTCCCTATCTGTTAATCGCTACCTCCCTCATTCACAGCCACTTCTGGCTAATTATTGTACAAATGTTATTTTCTATTTTATTGGTACCTTGTGGTCGGGTTGATTGGTATATAAACAGAGTATGCTTGAAATACAATGATTCATATCTCAGGGGCTTAGACTTGCGTTCTCGACTCAACTGGCTGGGCTAGACAGCGAAGCAGGGCCAATCGGGACTCTAGGTCGTTCGTACGTGTTTTACGTGTCATTGATCCGATCGATAAATACACTGCTCTCTAATCTTTCAGTCAAGGACACAACGATTGGCACGGGGTAAAAATCGATCCAAGTTCAAGTCACATCTGCAAATTTAGCCACTTAAATTTTACTTGGAGAACAGCTAAATACTCATGTTTTCTCTTTTACCTATTGAACAAAACTCGCTAATCATGCTTGATTGTAAGAGATACAACCAAAGGATTTTAAAGGTTCGTAAGTAATAGGATAGTGGTAACTACGTATGAGGTATCTATTCGAAACCAATAGATACGTTAGGAGTAAACTGAATCCTGAAGATTTCGCGTCAAGTGGACTATCGCTAAATGATCAAAATAAGGTAAGTGCATGACTACAAGAACCGACATTTCTGAGTCAAAAAAGGATACAAGGTCTCTGATAATCCGTATTTCTTTGCAAAGACTACTTAGCAAGTGCATGATTCTGACATGTGCTTTATGTACGTGAAAGTGGACACGATCAAGTCTGTAAACAATGTGCCTGGTAGGAAATATATTCGAGTGCTTACTATCAAAATGTAGGGACGGAAATTGTAACCGTCCGCCTACATAAATGATATCGTCTAACTTAAATTAAATTCCCGACCGTAGCTGCTACCCTGATACGGTGGTCGGGCTTGCCTGTCGTGATGACCCAACCGAGCTATATTGGCTGGAACATATGATCCTGTAGGTTCTGTCATGCCAGGCAGGTTGATTGGAGGACGGTGAGACTAAAAGAAGCAACTCAAGGTCTGAGGGCGAAGTCGTACTGCTGATTGTAGAGGGGTGTGACAGCAGTAAGGTGTTACCTTCGGACAACCAGTATCTGCAGTGATGCTGCCTTCTCACAAGGAAGGAAGGGGTTGTATAGATCGGATATTCACACTACGTCAGGTTCTAGAACACAGACACATATTCAGACGCCCCACAATGGTATTATTTCTCGACCTTAAGGCGGTACTTGACTCTGTTGATCGTGAGATCCTATGGCGATGTTTGTCACTGAAACGAGTACCAAAGAAGTACATTAACCTTGTAAAGGCTCTCTACTCGAACACAACTGGTCGAGTGAGAGCTTATGGCGAATTGTCATCAGGATTGATTAATTCAAGTGGTGTTCGTCAGGGCTGTCCACTCTCTCCATTCTTGTTTAATTTTGTCGTTGACGTGCTTTTAGAGATAACAATTTCCTGCCCTAAATTTTCAGGGGTTGAACTTCTACCGGGAGATTCACTTTTTGACTTAGAATATGTCGATGATATAGTTCTATTTAGTGAAGATACTGACAAAATGCACAGTCTTCTGACCACTCTAAGCAACAATGCAAGCATGTTCGGGATGCGACTCTCCCCCTCGAAACGCAAAACGTTGCTTCAGCATTGGGTTGCATTGACACCCGAACTAATGATAGGGAATAAAGGAACTGAGCGTGTCGATCGCTTTACTTATCTGGGAATTCTCATCAGCCCTTGTGGTCTGGCGTGTGACGAAATCTCAGCACAGATACAGAAGGCTTGACTAGCTTTTGCCAACTTACGTCATTTATGGCGTAGGCGAGATATCCGTCTATCAAACAAAGGACGTGTTTACTGTGCAGCAGTTCGTTCCGTCCTACTTTATGGCAATGAAACATGGCCGGTAAGAGTAGATGATATTCGTAGGTTACTAGTATTTGATCATAGGTGTCTTCGAAACATTGCTCGTATATCCTGGGACCATCGAGTAAGTAAGGTAGTTGTTAGAAAACGGGTATTAGGTAAGGATGGCAAATCAATTGAAGTAGTGAAACTTTATCAGTTGACATTGGCTGGGACACGTGTTACATATGCTCAACCACCGACTGCCCCGACGTGCGATGCTCATTGGTGTAGGAGTAGGTTGGAAGAAAGCTAGGGGCGGCCAGACCAAAACATGGTACAAGTCCATGAAGTCACTGACAAGTGGACTGAATCATGTTGGTAGGTGTAGACTATCTGGTTGGGGACCGCGAGATGATAGCAACCGATGGTTAGAGACCCTGAATGACAAGGCCCAAAATCGTTTGCAATGGCGCAGGTGCATACACTCTTTGTGTTCTCCGAAATTCTAATCTTCTGAATTCTTCATGTCCCTTTTTTCCTCTTACCAAATTTATTTCACTGTATTATACTCCTTGAATAACATCTTCAAACGCTAATCTTTCCGATTACTGCTTATACTCTTACTATCTCTACCACTATGGGATTTGAATCGACAACTGCATCTCTGTGCTAATGTGGTATGGCAACTCGAACTGATGTATGTACGTACGTACGAAGTTCTACGTTGTTACTGGCTGACTGAAATAAGTTAAGATTCTTTAATTAATTTTGGCGGGTTAGATTTTTATTCCAGCAAAGTCATGAGAAGTTGTCATTATTAAGTGACTCAGTTTAAGACTAACTACCACCTTTAGAGCTGAATAGCTTACACACATTAACAACAATATTATCAATACGAAACACGCTAAAACTGGCCTTATTCCAAAAAATAGTGAGGCGAAAATATAAAACTTACAACTTTGATATTTTGTTTCCTATTCGCTTCGATCAACCGTTTACGCTGGGCTGCAATTCGTTGACGCTCCAAACGTACTATTTCCGACTCATCCACTGTCAAATCTATAAGATTTTCATACATAGATACATTTTCAGGTATATTAACAGTGATTCTTGGATTGAGAATTAAAGGGTTGATAGAGTTATCTCCAGCGGGAAGAGTATTACAAGCTTCATTTACAATACGTTCCGCTTCTAAGCGTATTTCGTCAGCGGGATGCTTAATGGTAGAGAAAAATACACTGTATTGTTTTTTATTCAAAGGTTAGCATCACGATGAAGTTTAGTAGGCAAAATTAAATTTTTGAACCTACAAACTATTACGCTAGTGTATTATCAGTGAATTAATATTAAAATAGTTTCATAATTCCTAATATGTTTTGATGTCTCCGGGAGGAAGGAGGACAAATTTTCGCCCAAACATGATGTTCTCTACTCAGTAACTTTTTGTAAAGATGATAGTGAAAAAGTGGACGTATGATAACAAATACCGTTTTATCACTCATTTGGTGTGGATTTTAGAAATGATGTATATGATTGGTTAAGTGTCAAGTTTTTTCGATATTCATGCAACATTTAAGGAACACTTTTAGTGTGCGAAGGTAACGAGTGGGAAGAACTATAAATACTCAGGTTTGTAGGAGGAATTCAGGAGGCAGAGAAGATTATGTACACCAAGCCGTACTACAGCATATAAGATGGGTTAGATCTAGTGGGCAAATTGTATAAATAATACTGAGGTCTTGAAACACCTGTTCAGGTACATTGGACATGACAATTCTGTAGGTGATAACATCTTATAATACCAGCTTTCGTTGATTGGTCACACTTTACATATGTTATTCCATATTGTGTATTACTTGTCAACTTTTAGAATGAGTAGAAAAGTAGAGATGTTCAGATTACGACATGGTAAGCTGGAATGGAACAGTTCCTTTAATAAGCACCCACTAAGAATTTTTGGGTCGGATCCTAAAAACTATAGATTTCAGTGGGAATTATGCTATGGTTTTCTATAGTATATCTTCATAAACGGTAAAATGCATATGCTAACGCTAAAGGAAATCTATCTTGATTATCTTTAAACTCTGATTGCACTTTTTTAATATATATTATTATTTCGATTCACTTATTTTTTAGCATGATTTATCACCTTTTTATCTCTTCACAACACATTTCGTTTTGTATAGAACACATGTTTGGTACCCTATTATACCGAGCTTTCTTTCTGGGCAATAATAATGATAATAAATAAGCCAATAGTCAACGAGAAATTATCTTCAAAAAAGAAAGTGAACAGTAACCAAAAATTAAGCTTTTAATATAGGAAAATAAAGAGGCTACATGATTAGAAAACTCAACCAGATTGCCAAAAAATGTAGATTTGTGTCAAGTCTCAGTTCGACTACTATTTGTGGTATCCTCAATAGCATACTCACTATGTGTTACTTTGAACCTTAAACCATGGTAAAGGGACGAGTTAAGACAGTTACAACTGGTCTAATTTTGTCCAATAACCTCCCATTTCATCTTAACATTGTTCAGTTGACAATCTCACTGTTGGTTGGCGATGCTTCAAAAGTAGGGAATCGTAAAGGACCGATCATAATCGCTTGAAACTTTATTCCGGTTGGAATTTTTTACTAGTGAATATTAGAATAAGGCATGTAGTATTCATAGAATATTAATGGACAAGGAAATATTTCATTGGGTTTGTAATTCCCATAATTAGGCAAACACCAACGGATATTTGCACTAAAACTTAGTCACTGTTTTAGTTTTGAATCTGCCACATACAAAGCACATGAAGTATTTGACAGTTTTCACACAATGTTTAGAAGAATACATTAAACTTGTCTTAATACTTAGCATGAGATTTCTGAACACTGTGTCAATCAAAGAATACCTGGAATGAAAAAACCCAATCATTGAGATATAAGTTACAGATGGATAGTTCCTTTGGAGTTATTCAAGCCTGATTAACATTAGTCATACTAATATGGAAGAGCTATTCTAAAGGTACATATGAATCAGAAATAGGCAGAGTGAATCATTTTGTTACCATTTTAACGGTATAAATTAAGTAACATTCTAATCGACCGGAACTATTATACTTATCTAATTACATAAGATTAGCAGGCTACTTTATACAGTTACATTACAATTAACTAGAGCATAAAACAATAAACTTACCTCTTTGGAAGCACTGTTGACTTTCTTAGACAGGGATTTAATCTCCCGTTCTAAGGCTTTCGTTGTATTGAAGACTGGTTGTGAAAAATTTAGAGTCGCCTCGCCTGGATCGCAAAAAGAAGTTGTATCTGGATCCAGGCAACTTAAATCTGTCAAACTTGACAAGGACAGACTTTCGGAATGCGTAAAAGGATAGCTGGGTAGTTCTCTGGGATCTTGGTCACTTGAACTTTTCGCATCTGAAGGACAGTTTTTGGAACTATATACAGGACCACAGGATGATAACGGCTGCTGAGGGAGGTGATCTGTAGTTTTGAGGAATGAAACACTTTGACAGCTGCCTTTAAGGTGACATTCAGTATTTACAGAAAGATCACACATTTTATTGACATTATTTTCCATCGCCTCAGATACATCATAAAATGTTTGTTTAGAATCAAAATGGCTTTGTGTTGGCGCATTATCTGGTGGGTAACGATTTTGCAATATGGAAATGGAGTCCGAATTGCCAAAAGATGATGTTACATTGGTTAATTCATCGAGGCCAGATTCAGTAAAATCCCAGGACACTTTGTCAGCTAGATGATCAGAGGAATTTGTGATTACATTCGGGCGGAACCTAACCTACATGAATTGTTTCTCAAATTTTTTTCCATCTTTTTACCTGTTTAGATGGACTAAGTAGTTTATCTGACAAATCATTCTTCAGTGCACGACCTGCAAACCTTGGGTATGCATCAACATGTGACATTATTGTAACTGATTGCAACGAGACATTATTGTGTACCGATTATACGGTGAATATTAAAATTTGTTCGTTCTAAAAATATTTAAAAAATATAACTTGCCAAAAGAACAGTGGGGAAAATCAAGATCGAAATTGTATGAATTATGATGTTTTTACTTCAAGGGTATGACTAATTCTAATTGACATCCTAAAATGGATGAATTGAGAACATTCGTGTTTACAATCTAACTGGTCGAATAAAACTAACACAAAAGCTCGAAAGCTATCTCAAGTTTATTTTTATAGATTGGAAAAGGTCAAGTAGTCAGGGAGCTTCGAATACAATCTTAAAAGAGATGTGTTGGTGGAAATATAAAACATATGAGTTATTAAGATTCATCTCAAGTTCCCAAATGACCCACACACGTCAGAATTGAAAACAATCAAGTTTGTAAAGTTGGAGGTCAGTCGGTCATGTACAACATAAGACCAGGTACACATGTGCATAGATACAAGTTATCGTACCCCAGCACAAGATGAAAACTAATTCCACCGAAGCAGTTACTTTAATGGTAGTAATATAACGAAAAGAGGTTGCATATACGTAGATCATACATGGAATAAGAAATTTCCTCGTAGAACGAAACACAAAGCACTTTCAGTCTCACGGTTTAAGGGAATACAGTGTTTACACCTACACCACTGTGGTTGATTCTGAGCCATGACACCCAGAGTCTCCAACCATTGCTTTCGATAGTCTTGCGGACCCCAACCAAGTAGTCTGCATCTACCAACATGGCTAAGACTAGAAGTTAGTGACTTCAAGCACCGATGCCACGTTTTGGTTTGGTCGCCCCTAACTTTCTTAAACCATCTCTAGCACCAGTTAGCATTGCGCAACGTGCTAGTCGGTGGTTGAGCATACGCAACACATGGCCCAACCATATCAGTCGATGAAGATTCATAACCTCATCAACTGATTTACCATCATTCCCTGATACCCTGCGTCTAACCTCACGATTACTTACTAGGTGATTCAAGTAGATCCAAGCGATATTTCTAAGAAATCTGTAATTAAATACTAGTAACTTACGAGTATCTCTTATTCTTAATGGCCACCTTTCGCATCTGTAAAGTAAAACAGAACGAACTGCTGCACAATATACTCGTCTCTTAATTGATAGACGGATATCTCGCCTTCGCCATAGGTAACTTAAGTTGGTAAAAGCCAAACGGGTTTCCTAGATCCGTACAGAGATTTCGTCAGACAACAATCCATTAGGGTTGACCAGACTTCCAAGATAAGTGAAGCTATAGACGCGTTGAACTACTTCACTCCCTATCCTTAGTTTGGGTGCTTACGCAGGCCAGTCCTGAAGCAACAACTTGTAGTTAGAGTGGGAGAAACGCATCCCAAACATCTGGGCATTGTTACTCAGTGCTACCAAAAGACTGCATTTTATCAGCGTCTTCATTATACAGGATTATGTCATCTGTGTATCCTAAGTCAATAAGTGGACCTCCTGCAAGGAGATCAATGCACGAAAATTCAGACCACAACGTTATTTTTAGTGATGAAGTTAAACGAAAATGGAAATAGTGTACAGACTTGACGGACACCATTGGAGGTTGCAAAATCAGATGACAGTTCGCCATAAGCTCTGACTCGAATGGTAGTGTTCGAGCAAACAGCCTTCTCAAAGTTTCTGTACTTCTGAGGTACATCTTTCAATGACAGACACTTGCACAGAACCTCTCGGTCTACGAAGTCAAATGCTGCTATTAAGTCAAGAAAAACTATCATTGTCGGAAACCGATAAGCATGCCTGTGTTTTAAGACTCGACAACTGGTAAACATATGGTCGATGTAGCCACGATCGGGTTCAAGTTGGTCTGGTTTTCTCGTGTTTGCAGTTCACGAGTATTTGTTAGACGTCCGACAATTATTGAGGTTAATATTTTAGACGTTGTATTGGACAAACTAATCCCTCTATGGTCATAACAAGATGATTTAGATCCTTTCTTATGTATTGGGACAATCAATGATTACGACCAGTCGGATGGGATTACGTTCATTTCCCAGATTTTAGAAAAATATTGGTCAACCTAATCGCTAAAACTGGACCACTATCCTTAAAGACTTCTGGAGTTAATTCAACTGGACCAGTTGCTCATCCTCGTTTCAGATTAGCTATACCCGACCGTTGTTGGTACCTTAACGTGGTGGTCGGGCTTGCCTACGGAGCTGACACGAAAATTACCCACATAAAGGTCGTGTGTGAACGACCTCAAGCAGTTGTTCCTTGGGCAGTGCGGTCACATCCCCAGGTCTCTGAGACCACCTTTAATCTAATTTTTTCAGGTACCTTCAAAAGAACCCCTCCACGATGTGGGCAACCGGGAAGTGATAACCGCCCTCTTAATTCCAATTTTATTTATTTATTTATTTATTTGAACACATAAATATTGGTACAAGAGAGCGCCAATATATATGCGCCACACAAAACAATGAGAATTCGAAGAGAAGTAGAAAGAAAAAAAAAACTAAGGAACGCAAAAGAAAAAGAGAGTAATGACGAAGAGGTACAATCAGAAGAAATCTTTCAGGTAAAGGAGACACAACCACTTTTTATGAAGAAAGTAAAGGAAGGTTACAGCAGGATCGCCACTGGCTTCTATTCTGAGCCATATCTGATAACATCTCTAGCCACTGTGTAGCACCATCTCTCGGACCCCAGCCAGGGAGTCGTGAAGGACCAACACAAGCCAGTCCTTTGCAGCTTTCTTTCATGCCACGACACCATGTCATGCACTGACCACCTCTCCGCTTCTTCCAACCAGTCCCAGAGTCGGCAAATAATGCACGACGTGGAATTCTCTGGGACGACATTCGGAGAACATGTCCAAGCCACCGAAGTCGGTGTTTCAAGATGGTGACACCAATTGAGTTATCATCTCTGTGCCCGAACACACGATGCCGAACCTCTGCATTACTGACATGGTGTTGCCACTGAATGTCAGCAATCCTTCGGAGACAGCGATGATCGAACACAGAGAGTCGTCTAACGTCCTCAACTCGGAGAGGCCAGGTTTCACAAGCATAGAGCAAAACTGCTCTCACCGACGCGTTGTAGATCCGGCCTTTTACAGCCAGACTAACATCACGAAGGCGCCAAAGGTGGCCCAGATTGGCATAAGCCGCTCTGGCTTTCACTATTCGTGCATTGATCTCATCACTCACACCCCCACCAGCACTTATGCAGCTACCCAGATACACGAACTTCTCAACTACGTCTATCTGCTCACCATCCAGGGTGAGTACAGGATTAGAATCCTGCCAGTCTTGTAGAAGTACTTTGCACTTCGAAGGTGCAAAGCACATACCATACCTACGGACATTGATTGCCAACTGATTAAGTGCGGATTGCATGCCTTGGGCATTATCGCACAGTAAGACAATATCGTCCGCATACTCAAGGTCGAGAAGTCTTTCTCCAGGCAACAGATCCACACCACCATTACTTACATTCATCAGAGCTGTTTCCAGAATGTCATCGATGGCAAAGTTGAAGAGGAATGGTGAGATTGGGCAACCCTGCCTAACCCCACTGCTCGAATGGAACAATGGAGAGAGGTGGTTGTATGCCCTCACTCTGCCTGAGGTGTTTTTATACAGGGCTTTTAGGATGTTAATAAACTTCTCAGGCACACCCTTCTTCAATAGACAATCCCAGAGAACAGCCCTGTCCAACGAATCGAAGGCAGCCCTGATGTCAAGAAACACTACGATTGTTGGCCTTTGATAAGTATGGCGGTGTTCTAACATTTGGCGGAGGGTGAAGATATGGTCAATACATCCTCGACCAGAACGAAACCCAGCCTGCTCCTCGCGAGTCAACCTTTCTCGGGTTTTGAACAACCTACGAAGAATGACGGAAGCCAATAGCTTGGACGCAATCGGAAGTAAACTTATCCCCCGATAGTTGTTACAAGAACGACGTGAACCCTTTTTAAAGATAGGGACAACTATCGACTCATTCCATGACGTTGGTACACTCTCTCTAGATCGTACTTCTAGGGATCAGTCTTAATTCCAACAGCACTCAAGACTAGCTATAGCTTTTTGAACTTCAATTAGAGGCAAGGTTCTATTTCCATTCAGGTAGTTTGGAAATGGTTGATGTTAGAGAAACTACAAACTACTCTGCTCTATAACATTTGGAAACGTTTTTGGAGTTACAAGACGGTTTTGAAGAGTCAGCAGTTTCTGAAATAACAGCTTGTAATACCTAATGTACATAAGTGCAAATTGTTATTGATATTTATGGAATAATCACTATCATTGCAGACTTTAAATCTATTAAAGTGATATGGTAGCATAAACTATTTCTTCAATCCAAAAGCCTGAGTAACATGTCATTCCAGACCTTCTGTGCTTCAGTTTCATTCAGTGATACCAAACTTCACTCTTCACATTCTATTTTCCACTGAAATGGACACTATTTACGATCCTCTGTTCCTCATCTTTTTATTCGCGTTGTGGCTTGGAGGTTGAAACAGTAGCGTCAAATCATATGTCATCAATGTCTGTCTATACTAAAAAAACAAGTATAGAAGCGGAACCTTTTTTGTCCCAATAGAATGGACAGTGCTTGGTTTACTGTAATAAAAGTGTGCTCTGAAAGTTTAGTAAAATTCCTGTTAGGTTTGAGCAAATGCACAAAATAGTGATAGACTGGGACTGAGAAATCGATGAACAGGAATCAGTAGATAAACTATTTACTGCAACTGAACAGTAACTCAATAGCTACGATCGTTCTCCCTATTTCTAAACGTAATTCCACAACATAACCCAATGGATAATTGTTAAATAGGCCATTACAGAGAAGAGAAAGGATGGTAACGAGTTATAAAAGGAGATTGTACTTGTAACTATGATATGGTCTTGTGAATACATGTATGATAAAACAGAAATTGAAGTCTATGAAATACATTTTTACAGTAATCCACGGAAGAATGACCATATAAGGTACGTACAGAAACTTTTCCGAGATGGGTAGTTGTGACTAGCTCCACAGTCTTTCCTGAGGATGACACACCTTCCAAAATGTGGAGATAACCTGAAACACATACATAGTGTGGAGTCTAGTTAACTGGAGTCGATTTCGCTCTGAAACGTGTTTGAGGAAATCTAAATATCGACATTTCATCATATTTGAGGTATGGTAACTTGAACCGATGCCCACATGTGGCTTGTCCTACGTTGTACCCGACTGACTGACCTTGACTTGCCTGTCAACCAATCATAAAACGATACCTAGTTACAGAAGATTAACAGCAAAAACTACTAAAAGCGCAATAATAGGTTTGATCCTGATAATCGGCCCTTAAATGTCGATTTTCCGAAGTAAAAGAACAAAAGTTGAATTTGATAAATAAGCAATCGAGCTAGTGATGCGAAATGGCATAAACACACCATAGTTTTTGACGCCCACTAATGCCTGTGATTGAGCAGAAGGGTTGCATTCATGTATTGGTGGTTAAACCGGTGTCCTGAGACGGTTTTACAAGTTAGTATTAAGGTTTTCTTCACGAACTAGCACCAGCGAAAATAAACTTTCAAATAAGATACTTTTACTACTCCTCCGTTTACAAATTTACGAAGCTTGAGATTGGAACTAAAAGTAAGGACCCCAGCTCCCAATCTTGGGGAAAATTTGACCCATTTTTAGGAAGCCGCTGTAGTAAACTTTGGGGGTTTTGTGTCATTTCCCCAAACTTGGGAGCTCGGGGATTAGACTGAGAGGGTATTATCTAGTCTCACGACGAACTCCTGACCACGTAACACATCACATCAAGTATTTAACCACATATTCTGGCTAAGGATAAGGCATGTTTTATGAATTAGCTCAAGCACCATTTTAAATTCACTTACTGGTGCATTACAAGTATTCTCAATAATACCAAGCATTCAAAAGAAATTTTGCCGACATTTACTCTGTCTGTAGTAGCACAAATTATCGTAATCCTTGATGGGTAACTCAAGACCGTCAGTGTATTATAATTTCACCACTAATAGCTTTTATTACGCAAATCTAGTTGCCTTGATAACTATGTAGCTACAGTTGGCTGTCACAAAAAATGCTCTTAATCCCTGAGTCTGGCACATTGTTCGTTTGAAAAAGTAATAGATTTACTTTCATCTTGAATGCCATACTATGTTGAAGCACTAAAACCCGACCCCCATGACCTTGATGCCGCGTCTAAATGCAAACTCCCGCAATCTGTTTTAGTTAACACAATCAGCCTTATCCTGATTACAAATGTGTGAATTTTATAAAGCCGTTTGGATATGTTGGAAGAATTGATGATTAATTCAGATAAGAAGATATGAGGTTGTGAAATCCGCTTCATTGAAGGCATGTCTAATTTTGATACTTGTCTCTGTGTCTGTAAATTCTATGGATTAGTTTAGTCGTACGACAGTTCCTCAAAACATATCAAACCTTTTATATGCTGAAGTCACTTTATATTTCTTTCAAACGATCCCACTTGCATCCCTACTAATATCTGCGGTGGTAAATACTTCCCTAAAATATAGTTTCGAATCATTCGACACTGGTATCGACTCCATTAAATCTAATGGGCCTGAAGTTCATCAACGCAGTTGGTCTGTCGAGGATTGACAGAATGACGTGACCTAGCTTACGTCGAAGTCAAACCTTACGGTTAATATCTAATGTGTATTACCCTTTCGTAATGTTCAGGTAGTCTGCCTACTTTAATGAACATTCAACCTAACAGAATTATTACAGAAACATATCAGTAAGCGTAGATATAACAAATATAAAGCGACAACAGTTGCATGGGCTAGTTTATGTGGTGAAATTAATTGATGGACTTTGGCCATAATGAGGACCGGCAAACTGTTCGATATTCAGTAACATGAATGATGGATGAATCGGCTAGATACGATAAACCTACAGGAATATTGTGTACTGAAAGTGCTCCATCATGCGCCCGCATTAGATCACGTTTCGTCACGACGTTCTGGGTATCTTTTTCAATAACTAGTAAGTATAGGTCATATACACTCAGATTCATAGATCATTGTTCAAACATGTCATCCCATTCCCTCATTCTGGAAGTTCAATTTAATTGGCTTTGCCATCCTTGTATAATAAAAATGTTTGAAAAGTAGCGCTAATAAGCATTCTACATCTGCGATATTCTAACCAATCAGGTTGATTGGTTAAAAATTGACCGAATGCATCTGTAGCGTGGCGTCGAGTCAAGATTGACTATGAACACCGCTACCAAAAAACACGTGCCAAATAAATCAGAAGGCGAGGGTTGAACGTAACCAAATAAATCCATAAAATCCCCGAGAAGCCTAATATCAGAAGGCAGTTAATGGACCAAATCGAGATATATTTGCTGGCGATCTCGTGGCATCGAGAGGATACCGAGATCGTGCCAGGATACAACCTTGGTTACAGAACGTAACCGAAGTCACAATCAAAAGTGTGAGTATAAGAATGGAAGCAAAATATAGCTGTCATTAGCACAGTCAAACAAAAGCACATTAAAACAAGCACTGGTACAGTTGGTTATGATAATAATTGTTTTTATTAAACCAGTCGTATTCTCGTGATAAATGTGAGTCACTACACATCTTGGCAGTGCTAGGTTACCGTAGATCAAATATTCGTATATTCACTTATTTTATGTGACTAATGTATTTCCTATTATGTTTTCACAGAGTGCTGATAAGTTTGTGGGTTTGAAAAAAGATAACCTCACACTCCAACAGTTCTTTCCCACAGTCTGAATAAAGACCCAATCGACCACTAGTCTGGTTTCTTCTACAGATAAAACGAAGGTTATCTGCCGGAACGAAAATATCTCCATATCTGCCAATTTATTAGGTGACTGGTTTTGGTGCTTTTCACAAGTATATCAGACGAAATCATCAGGGTGAGTATTATCCATGTTTGTTTATCCCTTTGACTTGTACGCTCGATGACTGTTATTCTGGCTGCTATTAAACGCAACTCAATTTCGTAAATGTGCCCTTCAGCTTAGCAACCAATCAGAATGTGGCGTGAATTATTATATCCGCCATCTTTGTAAGCAATGGTGGTCGGCTTTTTTCGTTCTGTGCTTTTTTCAGGTATTTCTTTTGTGTAGCTACGTAATTTGATGTTTCAGTGTGCTAATGTGCAGAAGTTAATTTAATACTCTGAATGTTGGAGCAAAAGTTTTCCTCATTTGCTTTGTTTTCTGGGTTTTGGCTGCTGTTACTGAAGTCAATGTATTTCTTCAGCCAAGCTGGCTAGTCTTATGTTTTAAAATGGTAATCTGTTTTGTTTTGACTTGTTTTCTAGATACCCAAAGCCGAAGCTCGGTTTTTAGCTAAAATAATTGTTGCTGCCGCCTGTGACTCTAACTGTCCGCATATTCGTTCCTAACTGTCCTTTATGATGTTATCGGCAAAATGGAAGGAAACAATATCCGGTTCCCAGTTTTCCTAAGTACTACGGACAACACTATCCCACCGACGAGTGAAACTAATACAGAATGCCCAGCAGTAGGGAATATCAGTATTGTTTTCGAAACGACTCAGACTTCCAATAACTATAGATGAAGTCACTGATACTACCAATCTATTGCAGAGGGTTTGTTATATAAAATATTCCATATAGCAGAAATAGAGGGGTTGTACTCATTACTCAGTGCGTTAAAGCAAGCTTAACATTGAAACGCCGGAAATCTGCTATCAGTGTGTAGTGTATGTTTGCTGTTTTGGCCATAAAAGGAAGCCGACGGGTCATGATCAGGGAGTAAATGGTAATTAACTGTTACTAAGCTGACTTTTTTATAGATCATATTTCACCACTCGCAAATTTGTGTTTTTTCTTACGGTATGATGTCAACCGGTACCCAATGTGTTCACCCTTACGATGAAAAGTACCTGCAAATTCTCACCTTCATATTCGAGTTATTTTTGAGCAACTGTCTTCCAGTTTGAGTGCTTCGTACGCCCCGAGAAACTCTGTTTCTACAACATTCGTAGTTCCAGTATAACTTTCTCATGCAGTAACTTCAAAGTAGACACCAGTGTTTCTGAATAAGGCTGTTAATCTAATATCCATATTCTCTATTTCAGTTAATCGATGAAGACATGTACCACATGCATCTGCTGTATACTGCCATTTTACTCCAATTCTAACTGTTATATCTTACTTTTTAATAATAAAATTGCTATATGCAGCAAATACAGGCTTATTTGTTTTGATGGAGGTAGGGGGGTTCATGGGATTTTCACTAAAGAGCTAAGCGAGTGCGTAAACCAGTGTAAGCTACCATACGGGGTGCATTTGAGTTAATAGTGTTCCATTAGTGCGGGTAGGGGCATTGCTTGCATGTCATATGGCATTTGAATAAGGAGATATAAGGTTAGACGCAGGTACGGTTAGGATGTGTAAGGCGTATCCATCCATCAGCTGCCGTGACAACTCATGGTGGTTAGAATAAGTTGTGAGAGGACTCGAGTCTGTAGGTTTCCCAAGAAAATGACGAAGATATGTACTAAATCACTTACATTTACTACATATAAACAAGAGGTCCGTATATCACAAGTTTCTTGCAGCGATTAAGTAGATAAAACAAAGTAGCATTAGATTTAAAAATTTATCCAGGATTTTTCACTAAGAATCGAATATCAAACAAAGGTTTAAACGAAGTTCCCTTTTAAAAGTTGCACTGGTAGTGTAAGGATGCAGTCTTTGTTGTTTTTTTCCAAACGAAAGGGTAAGAAGTAACTCAGAAAGTACTGGAAGTGGTTGTGAGACTATAATCTGCTGCTAGTTGGGTCTCCCGTAAACAGTTTCATAGGACCATAGTTCTAAGGGCGAAACAGTTCTTAGGATCTGTGGAGGCTCACTCCTGTTGCATTCTAAATGAGAAAATAGTAATGAATTTAGTCAGAAATGTGGAATAGATAAATAACCTTGAGTTCATGAATATTAGATCAGATCAGCTACTATTACTTGTGCAAAACATAACATGGACTTAGTACCGTATTGCAATGCTTTCACTATTCCACTCTCATTTAAGTATTCTCATGTATCTGCGTCTAGTTTAACAGGAAGAAATACAAGCAGAGTTAGTGTCTGATAAACTAAAAGTCTCAGTTGTCAAAAAGATTCTAAACATTTGTCCACAGCCAGCTGCATTTAATTCAGACACAGAACACTCATCTTCTAAGACTATAAACTGCTCTTCTGCAGGTAAATAAAAGCTCAGACACTTAGCTATACTACTACCGATGTTATTGCTGGGGAAATTGTTTAATGAGAGTGGTCTTGAAACATGAACAGTGTAAGACGTACTGTTTACAAATAAGCACCAAACGTACTTAAAGCTATCTTATAATATATGACAGCAACAGCATCAAAGGCACGTTTTCTTCCTATTTTTAATCAAACTGATTGGAATCAGTATACTCACTAAAAACAGGCAGCTCTACTTACTAAACTGATCTGTTTCGTTACAGGCTTTAAGCACTATACTCAAGTACACTATAATTCTATCGACTAATCTAAATTATGACGGCAACAAAGAATACTAAACTAAACAAGTGTCACAATTATTGTTCCATTTGCACAGACATGTTGCTAAACGGAGTAAAATGAACATAATTCAGCCGATTAAACCAAAACACGAAATATAGGCCATTTGAACTTACCTAACAGAAGACGAAGGATACATATATATTGCCTTCAGACTGAAGACAACAGTCGGTTGTTCATAAAAACATAGTCTACAGTACAACAAACATTTCTTCAGTAACGTCATGCACTGACGGTCTATCTGGAAACAATAAACTATGTGATTAAACTAACTATAACTTGAGATATCATCCAGCGTGCAATGAACGTGCAGTGTAACGCAGTCAGACGTGGCGAAGAAAAATTAAAAACAAACCAAAACTAAGGACATAATCTAGTTATTTAATTAAAAATACATTATGAAATGACAAAATCTGTGGTTACTTGAACGCACAGATGAACGTTATTATACTGGGCGATACATTAAGTTTACATGGTTGCGTTGCGGATAAATTCACCGGTTAATCTTGGGGTGAAAAATCAGTAACAATATGCTACCATGTAACTAGTACACAATTGTGTGGTATTTCGTACAAGCATGTCAAGTGAACATAATCGTGTATTAATTTCGGAATATAATATCTGAGTATGTGATCACTTTGTAGTGAC